CAAATTTATATCACTAAATGCTCATAATTTGTTTTGGTTTTGAATTTTTTATGGTTTATGAAGTTTACAAAGTTTCAAACAATTTTGAAAATCAATAATATTTAAAAATGCTCTTTGAATTGTGTAAATAAGAATGTGAAAGTTTTTAAATTCATTTTCAATGATAAAACATCATTTATACACACTTAAAAACCGCTATGAATCAAGGCAATACTTTAAAGACAAGCCATGAACCGGTACACAACTTTGCAAAGTCACTATTTCATGAAAAAGTGCACTGGTTCAGGTGGTAATTGATTAACGTGATGTTTTAATTGATTACATGCTTTCAACGTTTAAAAACATTTAAATTTTGACATGGTAATCGATTACCTTAAGATTGTATTCGATTATAGACTCGTTTTCATTGAAAAATCTGTTTTGGAAAGGCTTGGTTTAGAGGATTCAATCGTGTAACTTTGAAAACATTTTAGCTTGTGTTTGAAAGATAATTTATTAGTTTTTACGTGATATAAGATATGAATCATGTTATTTTAAATATAAATAAGTTTAATCCAAACTTTGAAGATCTTTGCCGAATGCCTTTGATCCATCAGTGTCTTCTTCTTTATCTTTCTTTGTTATGATTGATGTATTTACCTTTTTCATCTTTTGTGAGTGTATTTGTCTTCATCAAAACCCTAACAAAGATCAAAGAGAGGGTCTTATTCATAATCTCCCTCTTTTTGATGATGACAAACATCCTTTAAAATTTCTTGTTCATTAACGAGTTTGCTTTAATATTTCAGAATTTTGCAATTTGTGCAGCAACTAAAAACTCCTTCTATTTTATATTCCCCTATCTTTTTGCACTTTAAGACTTTATTCCACTAAAAATATCTTGAACAACAAGAATAATATCCTACCATTACTCTCCCGCTTTGACATCATAAAAAAAATTATAATAACACATGAAATATAATGGAAAGGGAAATAATACAATCTATATGAATGAAAATCAATCTATTGGGTAAAGATGCATCATGATAATTAAAGTGTTAGATAAAATTATAAAATAGAATACACTTTCTCTTCTTCATAATGCTAATTGAAAGTTTTAAACTTTTTAATTCATCTTCAAAACAAATTTTTACCTTACTATATCAAATGATACCATGTGTCTTGAACAACCAATTTTTATATTACAATGTTAGCATATGGTTTATTTACACTTGGAAAAATAAATTAATGTTTCTCTCTAGGTATTCTAAACTCTTTGAATCCTTTTTGATTAGTTCCTTTCTCAACCCACACACATTTTTATCCTGGTACACCAAATCTTCTTATATAGCACGTATTACTGGTATGTCTCTTACAATTACAATAAAAATGTGAAGACTTAAAAAGACTCATTCTTTTTAGAATATAAATTATTTTTCACATAAGTCACTTTTGGTTGAAAATTTATTTTGAAGCTTCTTTGGTTGAACATTTTTGTAAGCATTGTTATACTTAACAAAGATAGTCCTTTTGCTTGGACTAGGTTTATCAAATTCGAAATGTCATCTCTTACCTCCGATGGATAGGGTGTCCATCACTGGTAGACCTGCAATGGAGGTGTATGGGTTGCAATGGACATTGGGATGATGGAAGTGATATCTCTAGCATATGAAGTACCATTCTTATTAGGTAACACATAATCAAAGAAAAATGTGAGGTTTCAAAGAATGTTACATTGGAGGAAACAATGTCTCGCTGAAGTATGAGACATAAAAATTATATCTTTTTTTGTAGACGTGAGTAACCTAGAAAGGTACATTTGAGAGATTTGGTAGAAAGTTTATCTTTAATTGGACCGAGGTCATGAACAAAGTAACTACAACCAAAGACGCGAAGAGAATGGGGTAGAGGTCATATTGTGGGTTCAATAGAGCGTGTAATTTGATCTTGAAGGACTGATGAAGGCTTTCGGTTGATAAGGTGACAAGCTGTGAGAAGAGCATCACCCAAAAAATAAGAAGGGTCATTGTGGTGAAGTAAACGAGTCAGTGCAATTTCAACTAAATGACGATTCTTCAGTTTAGCGACACCATTTTGTTGAGGTGTGTGAGAACATGATGATTTATGAATAATCCCTTGAGATGTTAAAAAGTATTAAAACTGGGATGACATATCTTCACGAGCATTGTCAGTGCGCACAATTTTAATGGAAGTGTCAAACTGATTTTTAATTTCGGCATAAAATTCTTGGAATATATGGAATACATATGAACGGGTTTTCATAAAAAATAACCAAGTACACCGCGAAAAATCATCGATGAAGGTTACAAAGTAAGAATATCCTAAAGTTGACTTGACACGACTAGGATCCCAAATACCAGAATAAACTAAAGCAAAATGTGACATAACACTTTTATTTACTCATTGACAATATTGTGACGAGTATGTTTTCCTAATTTACATGACTGACACTCAAATGACGAAAGCTTAGAAAAACTACGAACTAAAAGAAACATTTTATTAAGGCTAGGGTGATCAAAAACATTAATGTGCAAGGCTTTGAGAATCAATATAAACACATGACACCGGTGGTGATAGATGATATAATCTTATGGACTCACTCTCTGTTCCAAACGTCCTTCCTATATGTTGATCTTAAATATAAACAGAATTATCAATAAATAGAACTGAACAATCAAAAGTACGGGTGACTTTTTTAATAGGTATTAGATTGAAATGACAACAAGAAATATAGAGCATAGAATTTAAAAAAAAGTTTGGAAGTGGGTGTGCCTCACCAAGGCCTAGAACTTTGAATTTAGAGCCCCCCGCCACAAGACAGAAGGCAAAGAATCATAATAAGACAAGTTAAATAAAAGAAATTTATTACCAGTCATATGATCAGAGACACCAAAGTCAAGGACCTAACGACCAAGGGAGGCAGACGAAGAGACAAAGGCTATAATATTACCAGACTAAGCAACAGTGGAAAAAGATGATGGTTGATAGATTGCTTTGAAATGAAGGAACTCATTGTATTCAATGACCAAAATAGTAACTTTTTTGGTGATAGCCAGTTGAGCAACATCAACAACTCTATTATTGTTGTTATCTTGCCTTTGTAGAATATTTAACTATTCCAGTTAGTTTCTCCCATGGCATGAGTGGAACTTTGGTAAAAAAAAAATACATAATTGGTGGCATCTTGATTTTCCATTAGAGTTGGTGGTCGGAAAACATGCAAACAATATCGCTCAGTGGTGGGGAGAACTATGACGGTCGCGACGAACGACGAAACAAGGGTTGTTTGAACAATAAATAGTATTTCCGTAGAATGGTAATAAAAACTGAGTGTAGATCTGGAATCAAGATGGAAAACCGAGTCAGGCAGTGAAAATAACAACATGGAAGGTGGTCGGACGCGCTATCACACCTGGCAGAGATGAAGGCGCACGAGGGCCACGCGCATGAACATTGTCGACGCGTGTGATGGTGGTTGAAGACGATTTTCTTGGGGTGGATCAGAGAAGACACTTTTATCTGCGAGGGTGACGCACCAAAAATTCGTTAGAATCAGTGTCGACAGTATGGTGGTGATCGGAATGAGTCGCTCAATTTTTTTCCATCAAAAGACTGTGGATCAACCTGGTAAAATACGACAAAAAATTGAGTCTCAACAAGAATTAGATACCATATTGAAGTAAAAGAAAGTGAGAGACATTTGAATAAATTATGTGTTTTAAATAGCACCACGAAGACTATATTATATATAGATAGATTTACAGCTAATTACATGTTATAGTCGATGTGAGACTATTCTATATACAAATATTATTAACAGAGACATTCTAAGATGTTTTTTTAACAACATATGATTCCTATTAATACAAGTTTTGATTCATTATGGACAATATACAATTGTCGGTACAATCACATTCGTATAAAACTGTCGGTAAAATTTCAACCGTTGAAATTTAAACTACCGAATTTTTTATAATCAGTCAAAATATCCAATAAATGTACGAGCTTTTTAAAGAACTGATAATTTTACATCATCAAAATTTTCAACATTTTGAAAAAAAAAATCTAATAATCTAGTGTTTTTTAAAAAACCGATAGTTTTACATTATCAAAATTTTCAACATTTTGAAAAAAAATCTAGTAATCTATAGTATTTTTTTTTAAAAAACGGTATGTTTCTCCATGCATAAAATTTTTTTAATTTTTAAAATCGATAAAAATGCATATTAAATTTTTAGAATACACTATCATATTTTTTTATTAGATTTTTAACTTGCACTATTAAAAAAATTTGTGAGCTCATTTTTTATAAAAATTTGATATGGGTATTTTTTATACTATAAAAAATTGTGGGGTGTCAAGTATGACTAAGGAGTGGAAGTATTAAAATTTCACATTAGAACTAGAAATAATTACCCATAAAAATAGGAAAGGAAAGTTAGTATGAAACAAACAAAGAAATAAAAACAAGCGGTTAAGTGTGTTTAGGACAAGGCACTTTCTACTAGTATATCAGCATTCAACCTCGTAAAAATTTCTTACAATATGCATTATATTTTATTATAGTTTGTATTATTACTAAATACTGAAAGTCACTAACATCGAAAGTGGCTGTAGTTTAGTGGTGAGAATTCCACGTTGTGGCCGTGGAGACCTGGGCTCGAATCCCAGCAGCCACAGTATTCGTCAATTTTTATTTAATTATTTTATAAAATTTTAATTCCATCTACCATAAATAATCCGAATCGGAAAAATTAAAACAAAAAGCTTATAATCCGAATCTATTATATCAAGATTAAGATGCTTTAAATTTTCAACTTTATGCTCCACCAAGAATAACTTTATTTAAGTGAATAACAATTATTCCACTAATAACAAATGGTCCTTACTATAAACTATATTCCTTTTCTCCATCTATAAAAGAAGATTTATTTTATAGTGATAATCTATAGTCTCATACAATAAATACAGAAAATTATTAGCAGAGTGAATTCCATTCCATGGCTGATTTTCAACAAAAACTGGAAGCACTTAAGGGTCTTGTTGGTGTGCTAAACAGCATGGAGGATGAAGGTGAAACTGAACCTCAAAACGCTTCACCTTCAACACCACACAATCACAATCCTGCTTCTCAGCCTGGAAGGAATCATCGTCGCTCATCTGGAAAATATAACAACAGTGGGAAACAGAACATAAAAGGTCTGAGTAATCAAACTGGTTTCACTGAAGGCAATGCTAATGGAGCTATCAACTTTGGTGATTTACATATGTAAAATTCAGTAATGGCTATGTATGAATAAGTTATTAGAATAAGTGCTTTTTTGCACGGCTCCAATTAATATATATATATGTTTATGAAGTTTTATTATATATATCAAGATGATGGTGTCTACTTTAATTAACAGAAGCAATAATATATTAGCTTTCTGAATCTATACATGGATATAATAGTAGTTGTGATATTAATATCTTTGATATTTATTATAAAAGAAGGTTAATATTTTTTTTTGACACTAAAAAGAAAATTAACATTTTCAAATTTATTAATTAAATAATATATTTATTCAATAAATTATATATATATATATATATATATATATATATATATATATATATATATATATATATATATATATATATATATATATATATATATATATATATATATATATATATATATATATATATATATATATATATATATATATATATATATATATATATATATATATAAGGGACCAAAAAACACATAAAAATTTATTTCTCAATATTCCTCTTCCCTTATGTATAAAAGCGTATCAACTATCAACTCATTAAAAATCAATTGAATGCACTTCCTAAAGTGCTCTTTCACTACAAATTGTTTACGCTAAAAAAAAGGCATTTAAGTAATCAACTAATGTTAATCTTTTACATTCTCATCTCTTATAAGAACATGACATGTGACATTCATTTTCAAATCTTCACCGGTTGAATAACAATTAAGTATTACATTCATTCATTCTCTCTCTTGATTCAAATTTCAAATCTCTTTCACAATTCTTTTTTCCACACTTTCTCACTTTCATTTTTTTCTCCCTATTTATTTATTATCACTACAAATACTAATAATCTATTTTTTAATTTAAAGAAAATTAACAACTTATTTTAATTCACATGTTACTATCAATACAATATTTATTTTATTTTAATCAACTATTAGTTTCAGAGACAAAATTCTTATTCCTAAATATTTATTTCTTTAACCAGAGTTTTTTTTTCCTTTTTGTATGATTATTTAATATAATTAAATTTATATGATTATTGTTAATTTTACGATTAAGTAAATCATTTTAAATTTTGCATGTCTATCTAAATATATTTGATATCGTATCAAATAACTTTTTGACCTCATGAGTCATTATCATCACAGTGTCTATTTTATTTTAATCAACAATTTGCCTTAACTAGAAAGACAAAATTTTTATTTCAAAATATCAAATTTTCATTTTACAATTAAGTAAATAATTTCAATTTTACATCAGTGAATAAATATACTTTATATTGTATCAAATAAATTTTTTATTTTACATGTCATTATTAACACAATACATATCTTATTTTAATTAACAATTACTTTTAAATAAATACCTTATATATAAGAGACATTTAAAGATGCATCATGCTTTCCGACGTGGAACACAAGAAACCGTAAGATAATATCCAACGATAATAACCACCAGTGGAATTAATCGAGTACATAGTCTCAAGATGGTGAATGTATTGTACTATCAATACCTTATAACTTTAGAATGATATTGGGCCTCCTTTATTGGATCTCTAACCGGCTAGTAAAAACAAGATGTATTTATTTAAAAATTAAAGGAATAGATATTCAGCTATTTAGATACATTTTACTTATATTTTATCAATTTAGTAACTTTTAAAGACAAAAATACCCTACTTCAACAAGTTGAACTACTCTTGAACTACTCTTGAGGTTTGAGAGTAATAACAAATTAATATTTTAAATAAATGTTATATGAATTTATGCTAACCAATTATGCATAGGAATATTACTTCATGGCATTGATTCCCTTATCAACACAAGCTTTAGATATGAACGTATAAAATTCTACTTTATTTTATTCATCCATATGCATCTAGCAAGCATATATAGTAACACTAATTAAAGTGTGACAATTGACAAAGACAATACCATTATTGAATCATATTCCTCACACAATACTATCTTTATTTGCATTCACATTCATTAATTAAATATTCTCTTCTCCACTCAAACTCTATTAAAGGAACACCAATTCCTCAAACACATAGCAAACCTATCAAAAAAACACATTATAACAAGTTTTCTATTTTATTCAAACAATGGCAGGTATTGCATCTGGAATCTGCAGCCTTGCTGTCGGCGGCGATGCACGACGCCGACCAACACAAGCACAACAGTGTTGTTCCAACGGTAACACTCCTGCTCCTTCTGCTCCTGCTCCTACGCCTTCGCCTTCGCCTGTGCAGCAGACATATGAAGAGTTTGCCTATTCAAATACCGGAAAACAAAATATCAAAGGACTTACTAATCAAACTGGCTATGTTAAGGGTAATGCTAATGGAGTCATCAACTTTGGTTCCTTGTTAGCCTCTGCTAATGCTCAAAGGCAAGCATGAATGAATGAATCCATGATGCAATAATGTATATCTGGTGGAGGCAACTCAATATAATTACTAACTAAATAAATATTATGTTTTGTTGTTGCCTATCATATTATAATATGTGTTACACCATCATAGCCATTATAATACAATAAAATGTTGGTTAAATTTCAAATATATTAATTAAATTTTCATTTCATATATATATATATATATATATATATATATATATATATATATATATATATATATATATATATATATATATATATATATATATATATATATATATATATATATATATATATATATATATATATATATATATATATATATATATATATATATATATATATATATATATATATATATATATATATATATATATATATATATATATATATATATATATATATATATATATATATATATATATATATATATATATATATATATATATATATATCAATTAATGGCCTTTTGGATTATTTGTTTCAATATATATTTTACCAATACAACATATTTACAATTGAACACACGAGATGATTCTTCAACCAAAATTATTTGAGGATCAACCCTATTCCATTAACACAATAGGGAAAACTTGATTTACATATAAGGAAAGAGGGGATAGATTTCCGACATAAATGGCTTATCTCCGTCCGTAAATAGAAGTTATTTGTAAATGTGGCAGACATGAAGTCGATCAGTTAAATTAGATTTATAAATCATTGAATTAGAGGGAACTTCTCAGTTGAGTTTATTAGTGAAATAAGTTATTCTTCTTTATTATAAAACTAAGTTCTAGTTAAGAAACCATATAAAAAATGGATTTCACTACTCTCTCAACCAAGCATGTCTAAAGGATCTGTATCCGTTTCCAAATATTGATAGGGTAAGCTTAAAGACACATATTTCTCAGCTTTATGGACATATACTCGGATTAGAATCATGTTTAAATTGTAGAGTTATGTGCTTGCATGTACAATGATTTACATATGATCTTTGTGATTTTGATGATAACAACATCTAATGTCGCTTGATATTATGTGAAGTTCTTGAGAATATCTGATCAAGTAACTTCTAGTGATGGTGTCTATCAAAAAGCCTATATAAAGCATCATCGATTAAGAAAAACAAGTTTCAGATAAAATGTTGAATTAATAATGAATTTAGCAAGGGATTTTAAAACATCAAGGTTGTGAAAGAAAGGAAGTGTGAAAGCTTTCTTGGTCCTATGTTTGAGTGATTAGTGTATTTTAAAAGTATAAGAGTATCTCCTAAGATAGTAAGGCAACTCATACACACTAAAATATTTTTGAAGTCTCTCTCATATTATAAAATCACCTAAAAATATTTTAGGCATGTACCTAGTTGACTACTAGTTTGATTAAACTTTTATGAATGTATTTTACACTAGATAATCGACTAACACATTAAATTTAATCAATTAAGTCTTTTTTTTAACGCTTCCTAATAATTTAAATGAGATTTTAATCTATTAAGTGGCGAATAATTTGAAAATCATAATCGATCATGTGCGTTAAACTACCCATAAATCATTTTTCTTTTTGAGATATATTTTCTTCTATAAGTAGAGCGATTCTTCTCATTTCAAATCACACCAGAATTCAGATTTCTACCATCCTCTTCTCATTTTCTACTCTTCTATTCTCCTTTTTATATTCTTTCACTAAAGTTGCCTTATAGCCTTGTGAGTGAAAAATACTTGTAAGAGTTTAGTTGTACTACTGTTCGCGCGTGCTTAACTTTTCTACCTCAAGAGTGTGATTCTCTTGTTTGAATTGTTTGGTTCTTGATATTGTCCTCGAAAAATAATTGTTTGGTTATTGGACTTGTCCTGATAAAATCTTAGTTTTATTCTTGATATTAGCCGGTAAAATCTATGTTTGGTTCGTGAGCTCAACCGTCAAAAGTTCCATTTAGTTTAGGGGGTCAACATCTATAAAATTTCTCATCTTTTGTAATATGTTTCTTGGGTATAACCTTAAAATATCATGATATTTTATTGGTGGAACTCTAAAGAATTTTTTCATCTTAAATACAATTTATGCACTTCATAATTCACCCACCTCTTGTGTTTAAAGTAATTTGTTCTACAAGTGGCATCAGAGTCTAACTACTGTTCAAGACTAATCATCCAAGGAGGGAGGAAATTACTTTAAATGATTTACTTAACAAACTTTCATCTTTTAATAGAGAAGTGTATGCTTTATAGAAAGAGAATATGAGAATCTTCATAGAAGAGATGAATTTTGAAATGTGGAAGACTTTAAAAAATGGTCTATTTTGTCCACACATAAAGTCAATGTTATTGTGGTGAACAAAAAGGAAGAAGATTAAACCAAAAAACAAAAATAAAAATTAAAACACAATATTATGTGAATATATCAAGTGTGGTTAACGTGTTATTTTGAAAAGAGAAAAATAAGATATATATATATATATATATATATATATATATATATATATATATATATATATATATATATATATATATATATATATATATATATATATATATATATATATATATATATATATATATATATATATATATATATATATATATATATATATATATATATATATATATATATAT